TGGTGAGCTGGACTCTGGAGGAACAAATATATCCTTCTGAGCATTCTAACCACGTTGCTGTTAAGACGGAATTTTGAATTGCATGGATCTGGAATGAGTTCTCAGATGCTGCTGCCTCTACAACACACTATGAGAAGCACAGGCTTTTCTTTCTTTTTTTAGATTTTATTTTATTTTTTTAAATATTATTTATTTGACAGAGAGAGATGCAGTGAGAGAGGGAACACAAGCAGGGGGAGTGGGAGAGGGAGAAGCATACTTCCCGTGGAGCAGGGAGCCTGATGCGGGACTCAATCCCAGCACCCTGGGATTATTATTATTTCCTATTTTAATCCTGAGTTTCTATAGACTTAAGTTAATACACATTTGTGGCTGTCAACACACGTGAAAGCCTATAGCACTGAGCCCGGTATTTGTAGATGTTCAATAAATGTTTACTGGATTTGAATATAGAGCTTGTTTAATCAGATCAGTATGGAGTTTCCAGAGTTTCGTAAATTTCTTAATATTAGGGATTGCACCATTTATTCAACATTCAGAAACTATTTCCTTGCACCTGCTGTGTACCAGGCACTGTGCTAGGACTGGGAATACAGAGAGGACCTAGATGTGGACCCAGCATAAACATAAAAGTACAATATGACCTGCTAAATTCTGAGATGGAGTTAAGAAGGGGAGCCCTCCAACCACATCCTTGCAAATGGTAAGATTTCTTTTTAATGGCTGAGTGATATTCCATTGTATATATACACACCACATCTTTTTTATCCATTCATCTGTCGATGGACATCTGGACTCTTTCCATAGTTTGACTATTGTGGACATTGCTGCTATAAATACTGGGGTGCAGATGCCCCTTCAAATCACTCTGAGAGTATTATGCTAAATGAAATAAGTCAATCGGAGAAAGACAAATATCGTACGGTTTCACTCATATATGGAATTTAAGAAACAGAACATGAATACAGGAGAAGGGAGGGAAAAAGAAAATAAGGTGAAATCAGAGGGGGAGACAAACCATAAAAGACTCTTACCTCTAGGAAACAAACAGGGTTGCTGGAAGGGAGGTCGGTGGGGGGATGGGGTAACTGGGTGATGGACCTTAAGGAGGGCACTGCACTGAGTGTTATAGGCAACTGATGAATCACTAAACTCTACCTCTGAAACTAGTAATATACTGTATGTTAATTGATTTTTAAACAAAATAAAAATAAAGGGGTGCCTGGTTGGCTCAGTCGGTAGGCATCTGCCTTCGGCTCAGGTTATGATCCCGGGGTCCTGGGATTGAACCCTACATCGGGCTCTCTGCTCAGCGGGGAGCCTGCTTCTCCCTCTGCTCCCACCCCCCTGCTCTTGCTCTCTCTCTCTCTCTCTCTCAAATAAATAAAATCTTAAAAAAATAAATAAATAAAAATAAAGAAGGGAGCCCTGTGGGGAAGGGCTCGGGGCTGGCTTCACAGAGGAGAAAAGGTTAGCAAGTGGCTGCAGAAGCTAGTGACCCCTTGCAGTCCACTGACCTCCAACCAGAACTCCATCCAGAACTCTGGCCTTCCCACCCTGTGCGCGTAGAGAGCTCCAGGCTGATCTTGACTCTCCTGGGGCTACTCCTGGCTAACTGGGCCCTTGCTCACCTACAGTAAGGTAAGCAGGGGGGCACGGGTTTGTCACTCCTCCTCTCTTGTGCTCTCCCTGGGGTCCCAGCAGTCAACAGATCGGCTGGTGTTGGAAATAGGATTAGCCAAGGGAATCCCAGGCAACAAATCTCAGCCCAGGAGGCAGGCGGTTGGGCTCCTCTGGACTTTTCCTGGCTTCCAGCCTACATTCTCTATTCTTTCCTGCTTGTCTTTCTTCACTGGGGGGGACCCTCCCTCCCTCCCCCAATCCTTCTCTATATATCAGCCAAGCTCTTTTTATTTTTACACTTGGTTGAAACTATTTGAGTATCTTAATGGCTTTTGTTTCAAAGGTCAGGTGCCAGGCCTCTAATACAGGCAGGTGGTTGGTGGGCGTGGGGGGACTCCCAGAGTTGAGAAGGCAGGTCCAGCCCAGAGGGGTTCAGAGCTTGATCTTTGAGTAGGAGCCACACTGCCTTATTTGAAATCCTGGCTCTGCCACAGCTCAGCCCTCTGACTTGGGGCAAGTTACTTAATTCTCTCTGGGTTGCAGTCTGTAAAATGGGTCTTATAATAAAAAGGCCTTCCATATAGGATTGTTGTGGGGCTACCCTGGGGCTCGGTGGGAAGGGAAGGATTCCTTGGGTAGGTCATGTCTATCCTGTGAAGATGAGGGGGGCTCTGGCCTTGCCCATCTATTTCCTCCTGATGGGGGGGGAGGGTTATGGGCTCCCTGGAGACACCAGGGGGGAGGGGAAACCTGTTAATGATCACACTCAGACTGAGGTTACCCTCAAGATAACCAGGTGCAGCATTTCTTAAGGACCACTCTTTACTGGGCTCCATTTCACTGAGACCTCTGAGGCTGGTATCCGATTTTGCAGGTAGAGGACTGAGGTTCAGAGCCTTTCCCTAGGTCTTTATGAAAGAAGCAAATATCAGATGAGTTTGTGCTCATCACCACTACACTACTGTGTCCTGCACTCAAGACCAGCTTCATGGGCATGGGACCTGTGCACCGCCCCCAGAAGGGCCCCAAGCTCAGTTTAATGCTCTGCTGTCACCACCTTCAAATTCTCGATCATTTTGAATGAGCAACCCCACGTTTTCCTTTTGCACTGGGCCCTGCAAATTACATAACTGGTCCTGCCTACCTTCTTTTGTAGAAAAGACGTCTTCTTTGCAAAGACAAGGAAACTGAGGTACAGAGAAGAAGATATGACTGGTACTAAGTCATGTAGCAAGTTGGCAGCAGAACTAGAACCAGGTCTCCTGACTCCCTGTCTAGTGGAATTCTCTGGAAGTACTCAGATGCCCAACTGTGCCCTGGGTGTGGGAAATTTCAGAGAGGGACACTGGCTAAGGGAAGCTTCAGAAGGGGACACTAGCTGGGGGGTAGGGTAGGAGAGGGCTTCCATTCACCAAATCACTTCTCCCACCTGGCCCTTCTGGGACTGAAATGTCCACCTGCTACCCCCTGACCTGCCCACCCTTGGCCCTTGGGGCCAGGCTTTTCTGAAGGGCTGCGCAAATCTATGAGCAGGGCAATGACTCAATTTTCTCTCTAGAGTGGCATGGAGGGGCTAAGGGACATGGATAGGGGTGGGAGCACAGGTCGCCATAGAATGTAACACTCAGAAACCGGATTTTCCGGGTTTTGACCTCTCGCTCTGAGACCCAGTAAGACTGACATCCTGTTATGAGCTGGAAGGATGGACATGGGTGCTCAGCCATCTGTGGCCTCTGCTCTATGTAGAATTCTGCTGGAGGCATGCATTTCTGTGTGATTGTGTGTGCACGTGTGTGTGTTGTGGGGCGATGGGAAATAGATTGAGTAGAGAGGAGAAAACATCCACTTCTCTCTGCCTTCATTCACTTTTGACTTTCACAGATATTGCAGATTTGGAGACTAGAGCCCTGGAAATACAAATGTCCTTAGGATGCTTACAGTCTAGTGAGCAAGACTGACAATAAAACAAATAATCACACAGATACATACATAATTTGTTTCCTAGTGCCCTGTTCTCTTCCTCTGTGGAGCAATGAATAGTTTGAAATAATGGGTGGTTGGCATGCTCTTTGGTGAGATAGATGTGAACCCTATACCCATCCCAGCTGATTCCACAGCAAGCCTTTGCATTTTGGGGGCATTTGGATTGTAGCTGGGAATGGGATTGAGCTTGGTGCTCCAAATAACTCACTTGTGGATGCCTGAACTTCCACTGAGGGTCTTTCTCTAGGATTAAGTATTATTCTTTCTCCAGAGACTCTATTTAAAATTCAAATCTGGGGCACCTGGGTGGCTCAGTCGTGAGGTGTCTGCCTTCAGCTCAGGTTGTGATCCCAGGGTCCTGGGATGGAGCCCCGCGTCGGGCTCCCTGCTCAGTGGGAAGCCTGCTTCTCCCTCTCCCACTCCCCCTGCTTGTGTTCCCTCTCTGTCAAATCAATCAATCAATCAATCGATCAATCTTAAAAAAGAAATTCAAATCCCCAGGGGGTGGGTTCACTGAGTTCATAACTTGGCAGTGCTGTGTCATGAGACAGAGCAGCCCAAAGGCCCTGAATACCAAGAGATGCCCCTGTTGGGTACCACAAAGGGAGCCGGAGGGCCACAGGACCATCTCCATCACCCTCTGCTACTGACTCAGTCCAGCTCTGCCTTCAGAAGTGGGGGCCAAAGGGAGGTAGAGGGAGAGTAAGGCCCAATCAAAACCCAAACCCAGAATCCCAGTCAGCCTCACTCGCGTAGCTGAAAAAGCAAGAAGCTCTAGGTCCCTGTTATCGGCAGGGCCCTGCTGTATCAGGTGAGTCCCCCACTTATGGGCCCCACTGGGACATATTGGTCCCACTGGGACAGTCACGCTTTCCTCAAGGACAGCTCTGTGTTGTTCACAGGCCTTGACAAGAACTTTCAAGGTTTGTGAAACACACTCAGCTACCCCTGTGACCCTTCGGTACGCCTATCAGCACTCCTGCCCAGAGGCCACATTTGGCACTGTATTTGGGGTCTGCAGGTAGAATGTTCAATCTGGTCGCCAGAGAGAGGCCCTGGAGTGAGGCAGAGCCAGTTCTCCGTGGCGGCTGGAGCACTGCCCCGGGCGTGGCCGGGCTGCCCGTCTGGTCCCCTCGTACAAGAATCTGCATGCTTCCTCCCTTCCCTGTTTCCTTCCTCTCGGTTCCTCCCTCGCCAGCTTACCTGGAGGCAGGTAATAAAGCAGGAGGAGGGAGATGGATGGATGGGAAGGGTGGAGAGCCACGTGGTGCCATAAAGCCCAGCTAGAGAGGGCCCGTCCGGGGAGTGTCCAGCCTGCGGGAGTCAACGCTCAGAAGGTGGACTGTCAGCCGCGTGAGCCAGAGCCGGGGCGGCAGCAAGGCCCGGGGAAGGCCATGCACCGAGGCGCGCCAGGACCAGGCCTCAGAGGCCTCAAGGGGGCCGAGGGCTCCTCTGAGGACTTGGGGGGCTCTTGCCTGGAGGCCGGGAGGAGCTTTGGGGTGCTGAGGGAGAACGGCGAGGCCGAGGAGGCGGCGGGCAGCAGGAAGCGCGCCCGGCCGGTGCGCTCCAAGGCGCGGCGCATGGCGGCCAACGTGCGGGAGCGCAAGCGCATCCTGGACTACAACGAGGCCTTTAACGCGCTCCGCCGGGCGCTGCGGCACGACCTGGGCGGCAAGAGGCTCTCCAAGATCGCCACGCTGCGCAGGGCCATCCACCGCATCTCGGCGCTCTCCCTGGTCCTGCGCGCCAGCCCCGCGCCCCGCTGGCCCTGCGGGCACCTGGAGTGCCACGGCCAGGCCGCGCGCGCGGGGGGCAGCGGGGATGCGGGCTCCAGCCCGCCGCCGCCCGCCCCGCCGCCCGCCGGCCCCTTCGCGCCGCGCTGTGCCTCGTGCTCCCCGCACACGCCCCCGGGACGGCCCCGGGCGGTGGCCGAGGCTCCGGGCGCGGCCCAGGCGTCCACGGGAAGCTGGCGCAGAGGTCCCGGGGCTCCCTTCGCCTGGCCGCGGGGGCACCTGCGTGCGGGCCCCGGGCTGGGCTTCCAGCACTGCTGACTGGCCCCGGAGCGACCCGGTGCGCCTGGAGGGAGGCCCGGCGGGGGAGCAACCAATGGTAGGAGGGCTACAAAAGGGAAGACTGCTAAAAAACGTCCTGGACCGAGAAAAACTGAATGGCTGAGGCCTGAGACAGAGAGAGGAGGCAGCCTTGCCAGTTGGGAAGGAACTCAAGCCCAGGGCTGCACTCCCCAGCACCCCTCTCTGCCGCCCCGATCCCAACCAGGGGTGGCTGCTCTGGGCAAAGAGCAAGGATCGTGCTGGGGCTCTTTCTTCCATTTGGACTTGATGAACTCTTCTTGGAAAGTAAACTTCGCATTTCTGTGCCTTTGAGCCCTATGTTCTCTTGCTGTTTTTTTAGGAGAAAGGGGGCTTTTGGACAGGGGGACTTGTATGTGGGAGTGTGGGTGACACCCGGTGTGGTCTGATGACAGTGTGGCATCGGCATCCCCTGCCCGTGCCCGTACCCCAAGTCTGTGATCTGAGAGAGGCAAGAGAAGGAGCTAAATAAAAACAGAAAACTATCATCTCTGTCTGCTATCAGGTGTCCACTGGGCCCAGTGGCTCAGGGTGGCAGGAAGGCCTGAGGTCTGGGAGCTCACTGTGGAATGTCAGGCCCAGGGCCTGACACCCACAGGTAGGTACCTGGGACATTGATTCATGGCAAGCCTCCAGGGTGTGGTTGAGCATTGTGAGGAGCACTGTGGGAGAGGACATTATTTGAAGAGGGGGAACGGCACCAAGAGACTCAGAACGCAGTCCATCTCATCTCTGGATGGGACACCCTGCAGTGAGCCACTCTGAGGGCTGCAATGGAAGCCGAGTCTGGGCCAGTCTCAGGAAAGGAAGCCTCAGGCAGACCAGGGCCTGGAAGCCAGTAAGTCCCGCCTGGACCCTGAGCGTGGGTGCATGGCGCTCCCAGGGAAAAGGTGTCCAGTGCGGCCAGGGCCTCTATGATGAGGGGCAGACACGGAATCAGGAAAGATTATGGGGAAGAGGTTAAGGGAATGAGGGCCTCAGGCCAAGTCTGCCAAGAAAGTGGGAGGCACAACCAGCCCTCTCAGAGAGGTCTGGAGAGCTTTTGCATCTAAGCTGAGCACTCCCGAGCTAATCTCTGGCCCCACTCTTGCTGACGGGCTGATGCTGCAGCTGCTGCTGGCTGGGCTGAGAACCCAGATGTGCCAGGGGAGGGCTGAGGGCTCTCTGGTCTCCTTGGAGAGCTGGGCACTTGCCAGCCATGGGAAGAAAAGTTACCCAGCTCAGAATGGGGGACATCATGGAAGCTGGAGAGATGCCTGTAGACCCAGAGTTGAGTGAGGGGTCCCCCAAACAGTCAAGGTGAGGCTCAGTGCCGTAATTAAAGATACCTCTGCTTTCTGCATGCGAGACACTGGCTGGCACATTTGGCATCCTGTCCCTAGCCCACAGGTGTTAGGGTTCCCTATTTCACAGGGCAGGTGTCTGCAGCACAGATCTCAGGAAGGCTCCTGACCCTGGGCAGAGGAGTCACAGGGTCCAGCCAGGAACAAAATGTGGGAATCCGGCCCCAGGCCTGCCCACTGAGCCTTCCATCTGTGGAGAGGCGGTGCCGCTCTTTGATGGCGGAAAGGAAAGAGCCAGACCGGCCTGGGGTCCAACTTCTGCTCGGCCACTCACTCCCTGAGTGACCCATGGCCTATCTTACCCTCTCTAAACCTCTAGTTCCTCACCGCTGACCCAGATGTTTCCATCTCAGGGTGGCTGGGAGGGTTAACATTCGTTCGTAAGGTACGGTTTCTGGCAATGAGAAGGTGTTCCTTCAATTGTTTCTGTTTGTATATTATTATAATCTTATGACCAGTTTGGACAGTGCTTCTGCCTCGCTTCAGCTCCAGGTTTTATGCCCTGGAAACATAATAAAATGACCAGCAAGTCCTGCTTTTTAAGTTCCAGGATAGAAAAAGGTGAGCGCGATCTGGCTCGGTGGCCCGCGCCGCTCAGGCGTGGTGAGGGCGCCCCCTGCAGGTGGAAACTCAAGTGTGCAGCAGATGTGTGAGGTCGGAGGGAGGGAGGTGAAAGTACTTCTCAGTCTCTTCACTTCCCAGCTGAGTGACCTTGGGCAAATGACCTAAGGGCTTTGAGCCTTGGTGTTCCACCCTGTATAATGAGCTAAAATATGGACTTACGTCAGAGGCTGTTGTGCAGAGAAATGAGAGAATGCATTTCAAGCACTTAGTGTAGTGCCTGCCCCTGTGAGCACTCACTGAGTGGAAGCTATTGAGACATATTCTGTTCACAAGGTTGTTATAAAGAGAGAATGCCCGGGAAGGTGTTTTATAAACTTAAGTCCACAACACACTAGTCATTGTCTTATCAGGACCAGGTGTTTGAGTGCACACATGTGTATATTTGCATGCTGTTAGGTGTTTGCCTAGTATTCAAAGAGGTGTTTTTTTTTTTTTAAGATTTTATTTATTTATTTGAGAGAATGAGCGAGCGAGCGAGCACAAGTAGGGGGAGGGGTAAAAGGAGAAGGAGAAATAGACTCCCCGCTGAGCAAGGAGCTCGATGTGGGGCTCAATCTCAGGACCCTGGGATCATGACATGAGCCGAAGGCAGATGATTAAGAGACTGAGCCACCCAGGGGCCCCTCAAAGAGGTTTTTTTTTTGTCATAAAGGTTTTCTGACATACACACATCATGTGAGTGCTTTTATAGATGTGTGGATGTGTGAATATTTGTGTGCATATGTGTATGGATCGACCTAACAGGTACTCCCTGACATATTAGGATCTCCTGGGCCGGAATACCTTGAATCTGCTGGAGATTCTCTCCCTCCCTCTCCCTCTGCCCCTCCCCCAGCTCATGCTCGCTCTCTCTCTCGCTCTCTCTCTCTCTCAAATAAATAAATAAATAAATCTTTTTAAACAAGATACGAAGGAATGGTATACCTAAAGACAGAAATCCTATATCTTTAAGGTTGATGGGGACCGTCCACTGGAATAGCCTCCAAGGAGAGGGGGCAGAGAAGAATGACAGATGCTTGCAGCAGCTCCTTAGCTCACAAAGGGCTCCAATACACACGGTCTCTTGGCTTCCCTTAGGAAGTTTGCGCCTTCTAACCCCTTCCCTTATCCTCATTGTCTCCGTCAGGGGAGCAGTACCTTGTCTGTCTAGCAATGAAGGAGACATACCAGCAAAAATAGGACTGATGTTGTCAGGGGTGTGGAGAAAAGGGTACATTTACAGATTTGCTAGTTGTCCTGTGTCTCTGTTCCTTTTCTGGTAGGAAAAAATTGGCAAAAATCACATTAAAAAGACTCCAAGGGAGTAATCCAAAAACGAAAAGCAGATTTGCAAAAAGGCAGTCCCAGAGGCACGGCACGGGGAAAGATTTGCAATAATACGAATGCCCAACCATAGAGGCGTGGCAAAGCCAGCTCTGGAGTTATAACAGAGTGAACATCGTGAGTTAGCAGAGCAGATCACAAAATGGTCTGTGCCCACTGATTATAACTGGAGACAGACATGTAGGTACATGAACATACCCTAAGAGAATTTGGAGGGATGCAAACAGAGTTAGTATCTTTTAGGTTCTTCATAATTGCTTTCTAAAGGTGAAAGATTTGTCTCCTCAGAGCGCCTTCCAAAGAGGGGTAGGGAAATGTTTTGAGCAAGGACAGCAAGGACAAAATATCCCGAGTGGATTCCTTAGGAGGGATGTCACCTCACCGGATGTGAAACCCGGGTGCTTGCTGATAGGAGCAGGATTACATCAAGTTTTCCTTACAGTGTGTGTGTGCACACGCGTGCGTGCACACGCGTGCTCACACAGATTCCAGAAGGCAGCATCTGCCCCTGGTGTGGGGTGAACCGAGCCCAGGGCAGGCAGAGGTAGGAATTAGTGTCCATGTGGACACACTCTGGGCACTTGGTTGGTGTCTTCATCTTCCTCTGGTTCAGGCAGCTAGCCATAACTGGGCCAGACCCTGGGCAAGGGAGCCGGGGGGCCCAGTGGCCCCATCCAGGGTCTCACAGACAAGTCGGGAGGTGAGGGAGAGAAGGAAGTGACTTTCTTCAGCAGCCAGGCCGGACAGCATTGGGACAGAAAGGCCAATCCATCTGTCTAGCCGCAGGGGCTCACAGCTGAACTCCCCCCAAGGCCGGCAGGCCTCATGAAGGCGGAGGAGCTCTATGCCCCCTTCTGAAGGCTGCAGCTTGCCCAGCAGCTCGCTGTTCTGCAGAAAATGGGCCCAGAGTTCCCAGATCTTCATGTTAAAAGTCCGAAGCTCCACGTCTATGTGAAATGGATTTTTTTTAAAGCACATATTGAATTAACACTGTGCAGACCAAACCCTTTTTGCATGATGAGTATTGGCCCATGGGCCTCCGTTGAAGACCCTAGTTGGGAGTGGGGGACGTGGGGAGGCAGCAACCGCAGGCTGAAGCCAGGGCAACTGGCTGGGCTGGGCTTACCATCCCCGAGCCCAAACCTGAGGCTTCTCCCCGCCTCTCTCCTTCCCCGACCCCCAACCCCACCTCTGGTCATTCCCCTCCTCACTACCAGGCCACTAGGTGGCACCGTGAGCCCAGCCGCGCACATTGGCAGGGCAAGCCGGCCCTCACCCCAGACCCAGAAAGCCAACCCACCCTGCAACCTCACAGTCACCAGCCACCCTGGGGACTTCTTGGCTTTTTCTTTTTCTCTTAGGGTTTTTATTACATCAAAAAGACCCCTTTATGTCGAGTTCATTCTGTTCTAGGTCAGCATTGCCCAATAGAGGTGTAATACAACCCCCGTTTTTAATTTTTAATTTTCTAGTCGGCATATTTTTAAAAAGTGAAGAGAGAGGTGACATGAATTTTAATAATGTTTTATTCAGCTCTATGTATCAACAATACTATCACTTTAGTATGTAATCAATATACACGGTATTCATGAGACATTTTACGTTCCTTTTTGTACTAAGTATTCGAAATCTAGTGTGTTTTATACTTACAGCACATTTCAATTTAAACCAGCTATATTTCAGGGGCTCCTTTGGCCAGAGGCTATGGAATCTTTGGGCTGGGCAGCTGTAGGCCCTGTGGCGGCACCGAACTTCCCACCCTCTGCAGGAGGTCTCATGTTTAAAAAGGTATTAGCAAATTTTGGAAGTTCCTGGGCAGGGAAACCCAGCTCACTCTCTTGCTCCACCCCTGGCCTGGGGGAGAAAGAGCCTCCTTTTAGAACCGAGATGAATCCCTACTTCCTCTCTTTTTCCCTCTCACTGCCTACCCTGGAGACCTGCATTTTGCAAACAACAATGGGTTTCCTTTATGGAGCGAAAATTCTTTTTTTTATTTTTATTTATTTTTTAAAGATTTTATTTGTTTATTTGACAGAGAGAGACACAGTGAGAGAGGGAACACAAGCAGGGGGAGTGGGAGAGGGAGAAGCAGGCTTCCCGCTGAGCAGGGAGCCCGACGCGGGGCTCGATCCCAGGACCCTGGGATCACAACCTGAGCTGAAGGCAGACGCTTAACTGCTGAACCACCCAGGCACCCCCTGGAGCGAAAATTCTTAATTTAATAGAGTCAAATTTACCCAACTTGACAATTTGTGCTGAAGCCACACACTATTTTCGAAACTTATTAGCCTCCAGGTGCCTTTTCAGCTCCCCAGACTCCCCCTGAGCCCCTAGCAGGTGGCTCTTCCCTCTGTCTGTGGTCTGTTCTCCCCTCTCGCAGCCGCCTGGTCACAGCCCTTGCCGGAAGCAGTGTTTCTGAAGCCAGGGTGACACACCAACCAAAGCTATTTCTTTCCACTGCAATGGCTCATCTGGCTCCAAACCGGCCCCTGGACCTGGACAAGGGACTGACGTCTGGTTGAGAGGAGTGTCCCTCCATTTCCGGCCTCAGTTTTCCCATCTGGAATATCAGAGGATGTGAACCTCACAACCTCTGAGGCCCCATCCCACCTCTGCCTTCCCACCCCCATCCTGCATTACCCTAGGGGTTTAGATTCTTTCCTCTTCCGCCACCCACCCCAGCACACACCCATGCACACACCCAGTGGTTCCAGGGCACTGTAAGGAGAGAGAGATCAGGGACACAGAAGAGACGTGGAGCATAGAGGAGGAGGCTGAAACAGGGAGAAGACAGGAGAGGGAGTGAAGAGAGACAGCAAGAATCAGAGAGGACAGGCGACCAGGACTGAGGTCCCTCGGAGCTGGCGTGTGCCCCCAGGGAGCTCCTGAACAGAAGTATCTTTGCTGTTCTTTAAAAGCACCCCACGGGCGCCTGGGTGGCTCAGTGGGTTAAGTGTCTGCCTTCAGCTCAAGCTATGATCCCAGGGTCCTGGGACCGAGCCCTGCATCAGGCTCCCTGCTCAGTGGGGAGTCTGCTTCTCCCTCTGCCCCTCCCCCTGCTCATGCTCGCTCTCTCTCAAATAAATAAATACAATCTTTAAAAAAATTAATAAAAACACCCCAGTAAAGCTCTGATGGGCATGAGATGGAGCCCACACTTCCTCCCTAGCACCCCGTGGTGAGGTGCTCAGAGACCCATTGAGGCAGGATCCTCCGGTGGTGCTTAGTCCCCCTCTCCTCTTGGAGCAAGGCTATGGCCAGAACACCTCTGGGGGCTGGAGGTCCGGGTCAAGGTGGGATGCCCTAGTGTAGGTGCAGGGCTCAGCGTTCCCTGACAGAGAGGAGGAAGGGCAGAGGTAGGAGGAAGTGTGACCTGCTCCAGGGGCAGAGAAGCAGAGGGCTCATTGCCCAGGACAGTTGAAGACACACCCCTCTGTGACCCACTATGTCTGGTTCCCCCATCCGGAGCCCCCAGACCAGAGAGGCAACTTCTGTGGCTGCAGTGGAAACGAGAGGCCCACCCGAGTCCCTCTGGGCTGGGCTGGGCTGGGCTGGGCTAGGGCCCAGGCAGTACACTGCTGGGCAGTTCTCAGGGGAGTGGGGAATTGAAAAGAAAAAGCATCTCTGAGGAGGGTGGGGGGAGGGAGGCTGTGTGGTGTACTCTCTCTCTCTCTCTCTCTCTCTCTCTCCCTCTGACTTAGCCTAAGCCTCACCCGGGAGAGGAGCGTCTTCACTCTGCTCTTGGAGCTGCTTTCTGTCACTTCCCCGCCCATCTGTGCTGTCAGCAGCACCAGCAAAGTTGGCCTCAAACTTGAACAGAGCTGAAGGCTCCAGCTTCCCGAAGCTCTGCGGGGGCATCGGGCCGGCCTCAGCCTCTGAACTCAGCTGGTCCGGAGAAGCCGACCTCGGCCAGCTCCCGGGTAGCCCTTGCTCCCCTGGGGGACGCTTCTGCCCCTGACCTGTCAGCCCCCAGTCTGGGCAGAGGAATGGTGTGCTGAGCTCTCTCTGGAGCCGATCATCTCAGCCTGAAGCTGGAGCAACCCAAGGCCCAAGCCAGCATGGCCAACCCGTTGCAGCCTCAGTTTCCCTCAGCCCAGGAGCCAGGCACCGCCTTACCCCTGGACCTGCCAGAGATGGAGATGCTTCTCACGAAGGTGGAAGGCAAGGATGACAAGCCACTGAAGCTGTCCAAGTCCCTCTCGAGGGCCCTGGACCTGGAGCAGAATGGCCACGGCCTGCCCTTCAAGGTGGTATCCGAGGGGCACCAGGATGCCACCCTCCCCTGGTCGGCCTCTCGGGCCAGCTCTAGACGGGCGTCCTCCATTGCCACTGCGTCCTCTGCCCAGGACCAAGAAGTCCCCAAAGATTACCTCATCCTTGCCATCGCCTCCTGCTTCTGCCCCGTGTGGCCCCTCAACCTCATCCCCCTCATCTTTTCCATCATGGTAAGTGTTGCTCTCTGTTCCAGGGCTCAGCAGGCGTGTTCCCGGGACAGACGCCAGACCCTCTGCCCAGGGCGTGAGGAAGAGAGAGCTGGGGGCTGGGGGCTGAGGGCAGACTCCCTTTCTCTCCCCGTTGGAGAGGGGGCCAGGGCCAGGAGACCTTCTGTTTGCTGTCCTCCCTCTTCTCTGCTCTTCAGTGTCACAGCCCAACTTTGCACACATCCCTGCTGGGGAGGGGACCCCAGGGAGCCACCTGGAGCCAAACTCTACACTGCAGCAAGGCAGGCAAGTTGGGGGGCTTGCCTTTTGCAGGGGGTGTCCTGAGGAGTCATTCTGAGTGGGGCTGTGTGTCAGTAGAGGTTGTGGCCAGTGTGGGGTCTCAGGACCCCGAGTTCTCGGGAGGGGACCCAGCCGTCCCCACTCCTCACCCCGGGCCCCCTGGGTATTCCAATGGCCTTTGCCAACTCTGGTTTCCAAGATTCAGCTGTGGCTTCCTTGCCATGCGCCGGGGGCCCTGGGGCCTGGCTCCCCCGAGGCTGCCCCTTTGGGGAGGGCAGGCTGTTTTTGCTGGGGCCCTCTGGACTTGGTGTCACACTGATTTCAGCATCTGTCTTTAGTCTGTTTTTAGGGTAGGGGAGGTCTGGGCCGTGGGTGAAAAATGTGTGTCAGAGGACATGGCTGGCCCTGCCAAGGAGGAGCATGTGGGCTAGTCTTTGCTTCTCACACACTTATCCCCTAGGCTTCTGAGTAAACGGTCTTAGGTTGTCTCCAAACCAAGCCATTTGGATAGAACTACTTATAGAAGATCCACAGAGGGTGCCTGGGTGGCTCAGATGGTTAAGCGTCTGCCTTCGGCTCAGGTCATGATCCCAGGGTCCTGGGATCGAGTCCCGCATCGGGCTCCCTGCTCCTTGGGAGCCTGCTTCTCCCTCTGCCTCTCTCTCTCTGTCTCTGTCTCTCATGAATAAATAAATAAAATCTTTAAAAAAAAAAAAAAGAAGATCCACAGAAATGTCCGTAGATGTTGGCAAGTGACTTTTGAGGTCCAGGAAGAAGGAGGGGGGTGAGAGAGAGAGACTGGGCAGGCAATGGCTTCCAAAAGGTAAAAAGAAAGCAGGAGTAGTAAACCCCCAGCCCCAGGCTGGTCAGGGCTGGGGGACAGGGTGGGGAGATGCTGTCTGCTTCCCTCTGGAGTGACTCCCCTGCTGAGTCATCTATCACTGAGTCCTCAGGAGCTGTGGTCACTCCTGCTGCCCCCCGGGTTGTCCTCTGAGAAAGCCCTTGTCTCCTCAAACACCTCCTTCCACTTCACGGAGGCCCAGTGTCCAGCCAGGGATGCCTTCCCTGACTCCCCATCAAATCTAGCTCCCCCTGCCAAGACATTAGGGGACCCCGGTGGCATTCCTGAGACTTGGCATGGGCACAAGAGCAAGGACTGAGCAGGGGCTGGGGTTGGGGGGTCTTTGAGGAGTTTCCTGTGCTGCCTGCTGTACTTGGGGGGCGGCTGGGGGCAGAACCTGGTACCAGGGGTGCAGCCGGGAGTTCTGGGCAGGCCCAACCTCTTGGTTACAGTGAGAAGCCCCAGGAGAGGAGACAGGCTTCGGGGAGGGAAGCCACACAGGGCCCAGGAGAGAACAGTTGCTGGAATCCATCTCCTTGTGGGGGCGGCAGGGTGCAGACTGGGTAGACGCTGCCTTTGTCAAAGGCGCCTGCATCCAAGACTGTGAGACCACTGAGCCCACCCCGAGGGCCTTTCTGCAGCCTTCTCAGGTTCCTGAGTCAGTTCCGGAGGCCGCTGGGTCAGGGGCAGGGAATCCGGTGCTAAGCCAGAGCCAGAACCCATCACCGATTCCCAGGAGCCTCCAGTCCGGTGGGGAGAAACTTGTAAACAGATCCCATAACCCATTGCAAGAAGTGCTCATGCTAGACAAAACCTCAGCGTATCGTGGGGCCTCGGGCAAGTCACTGAAATCTCTCTTCTCAGTATTCCCATCTGCAAAATGGGTGTCACATAACACCTACATTAGAGAGCTATGTGAGGGTGAAGTGAGATGAGCTGCATGAAGGGCTGAAGAGCAAGTGCTCTTACACCTTAGCAATAACTGAGTGGGACCTGAGTGTCTCCCTCACCGGGGGTGGGAAGCCATCATGAGTTTTTTGGGGTTTTCTTAGAGCTTTGACATATAATACACATATCATACAATTCACCTGTTCAAAGTGTACAATTCAAAGATTTTTAGTATCTCCACAGATCCATGCAACCATAACCATAGTCAGTTGTAGAACATTTTCCTCATCTCCAGAAAAACCCATCCTTTTTTTTTTTTAATCACCCCATCTCTCCCTTGATCCCTCTCAGACCTAACAAACCGCTAATCTTTCTGTCTTTATGGATTTACCTCTCCTGGACAGTTCATACCAGTGGAATCATACAGTGTGTGGTCCTTTGGGACCGGCAGCAAGCTTCACCTGGCATTTACATCACAGGGCCCGGAGCCAGAGAAAGGTGTGGTCGGGTTTCTATTTTGGGGGAACAGGTTGGTGCAGGATAAGAGGAGGGGTGGCAGGAGCCTCTCTGAGTCTGGCAGTTGGGAGAAGGAACCTTTGCAGGAGCACTAGGTGAGAGATGAAGAGGTCTGGACCAAGGCCCTGGCAAGGGGCAGATGGGGTTTCTGGAAACCTAAGAGTTGTTAACACAGACCATTTATTTATTTATCCAGTCCATCATTCACTTGACTGGCAAGTTGTTTGTTTGGAGGCAACTAAATGGTAGAGAATGATTGGGTCCCCCTTGAATGAATATGCCTCTTTTACCAATGAGGCGCCATGCTAGGCATTTGGGAGGATGGATGACGTGGTCTATTTGACATGCCCAAAGGATGCAAGGGTATGGTGATGGAAGGAAGTGGGCAGGGACCCGCTCTAGGAATTTAAGTTTTATCTCAGTGGCCCTGCGGAGCCCCTCAAAAATTTTAAGCAGAGGCATGATGTGGTCTGTTCAAATTTTAAAACCAACACCCAACTGCACTGTGGGAAATGTGCTGGCCTGGCAGGACTGGGGGCAGGGAGACCCCATAGCAGGCTCTTGAGACAGTCCAGGTGGGCTGATGAAGGCATGGACCAAGCAGTGGCTTAGGAAGGAGGGCACCGATGATTGTTGAAGAGAAAGTAACAGCACTTTCTTCACACTCCTGATTATCCAACTCCGAGACAGAGCTGTCTCAAAGACAGCGCTGAGGACTGCGGCATTTAAGGGGTGGGCAGAAGGAAGTGGACAGGAAAGAGTTTTTTGTTTAAGATTTTATCTATTAATTTGACAGAGAGAGAGAGATAGAGAGAGCAGGAACACAAGCAGGGGGAGTGGGAGAGGGAGAAGCAGGCTTCCCGCTGAGCAGGGAGCCCGACGCAGGGCTCGATCCCAGGACCCCGGGATCATGACTTGAGCCGAAGGCAGACACCCAATGACTGAGCCACCCAGGCGCCCCAGGAAGGAGTTTTGAAAAGAAGATTTCGGGGGGTGGGAGGTTAACTAGAAGAGATGGGGAGACGCCTAGGGAGGAGCGAGTTTGAAAGGAGGAGGGATGGTCAAATGCAGTGCAGAGGTCAGGTCCAATAAAGATGGGAGTGTCCACTGGCTGGGCCATTTACCGACCGCCATTACCCTGGTGATGGACAGGGTCAGGCAAAAAGGAGAGAGATGACGGACGAGTTTCATGAAAAGATGGGATCCCGAAAAAGGACCCCGTCCCCGGGAGCCTGCAGGAAAGGCCATGAGGGCAGAAGCAGATAAAAATACTCAAAGGAAAAGGAGCTGGCTCATGCTGTATGGGCTCCATGCCACCAGGGATGTGGAGGGCAAGGCCATTTTGCTGAGAAAGAAGGGCCTGATGACAGGGGAGAGGAGAGGTGACAAGGAACAGAGAGGTCAATGGCCTGAGGGCTCTGCTGAGGCTGGAGACCATGGGTCTGAGTTGTTATCAGCCTGCGTGGTGGTGCATTTTTTTCTCCAGCTATAGGTATGGAGTCACAGATGGGACATTGGACCTGAGGCTGGGGATGGCAGAGTTGCCATGAGGGCAGACCCAGTGGCACAGAATGATGCTGGTGAGGGGGGCAGAGGTGGCACACTCAGGGATCAGGCTGGACTAGGAGGGAGTGAGGCTGGGAAGATTGTGATGACCTTGGAGGAGAGGGAGGGGTCACGGGTTGAGGCTCAAAGACGTCGAAGGACAGATGCTGTGTGAGAAAGGCATGAGAGAGACACCAGGGGCTGAGATTTCAGCAGAGGGGCCGTGTGGGGTGGTGGCGAGGGAGAGTATAGCTGTGGAAACGAACTTCCAAAGAGAACCATGAGAAGCCAGGAAGAAGGAGCCTGAGGGAGCCCCGTGTTAAGGGCTAATTGTTCTCATTTAACACATGAGGCAACAGGGACACTTGAGCAGTGCCTTGCCCATGGTCACACAACTGGTAAGAGGCATGTCAGCCGGATGTTGAATCTAGTGTTGTCTCCATGACCCCACCCTGCATCTACCTCTGGGGACAAGGTTGGTGTGTCCCTCCCAGGAAAGCCAAACCTTTGGGGCATTTGTTCAGGGAGGGAAGAATCCACTTCCTTCCCTCTTTCTCTCCACTCTCCCCCCTCCAACCCGCTGCCCTTCCCCACCCCTACTGACTCCACCAGTGGGAGACTAATGGACCAGCAGTGTCCTTCCCACTGTGACTCAGACAGGGGCCTGCTGTGACAGGAGCTCAACCCAAGGGGCTGGGATCCCAGGTATCCAGACCCAGCCCTGCTCAGCACCGCAGCCTCCCTTGAGCCTCCCGAGGTGGCCAGGGCACCTGGCTTCATCCATTCTCCTCCTGGGTCAGGCTGAGAAAAGGCCATGTTCCTCAATGCCAGCAAGGTGTCCTGTCCACAAGGGGAGCTGGACCCCAGGCCTTCAGCTGACAACAGTGCTTAAACCAGCATCAGATAGACCTGGGTGTGCTTCCCAGGCCATGAG